CAAGAAAGTTTTTTTGAACTATGTTTATGAACGGAAATAATGTGTTAATTACGTAAAGTTTGAAGGCTAATAACCAGAAAAAGTCTAACTTATTTTTACAAAGAGAAAGATGCAAAGTTACCATATCTTTGCTTGGGATCTCCGAGATCTGTGGACACAGTGACGTCATGAGGAGGGAAATCGTAGCTTCAGCTCTAAGAGCGGAGTGAACTAGCCCTTGTATTCTCTTTAGCCCTGCTCTCTTCTTGAAGTGCAAGTACCAAATTTAACGATTTTTGGACCTGTTTGTTTTTAATCACTCACATACTCTCAACAGTGAAAAATATGTTGAGATTATAAACCTAATTAAACATAAATAAAACTTATTTTAACTCTGCTAGTAATATCAACCGGAAGACCGAAGGGTGAGAAATTGTTCCCCGCACATTATTTTACAACGTCGAATTAATTTTTATTTAACATCTCTAATTTATTATTCTTAAAGTGCAGTTACTGAGCCGTGATAGCTCAGGCGATAGAGAATTCGCCTTTCAATCAGGTAAACCGGGTTTGAATCCAAGCGAGGGCTGGTCGAGTCGAATTCCGCACCCAACTTGCACAGATCACACAGTGATAACGTAAAAATATCCTCAGTGGTAGACGGATCATGGGTTTGAGTCTCCTTGTCGTAAGACTAACCGTTGGAGATTTTCATGGTTTTCCTCTCCATGTAACGTAAATTCTGGTTGGTGCCATCAAAAAGTCCACCACGAAGGCAAATTTCTTCCAATACTTGATCCAGGAGTTCGCTCGTCCTCTGTATTGGGTTCAAAATTGCAAGGCTCCGGAGTTGAACATTAGTAGTCCTAAACCCAAAAAATTGGGTCGGCTGTTCAACGACAGTTATAAAATAAAAAGTCCAGTCACTAATTATGATTTAATTAAAAATTTATTTCAGAGATTCAAAATTAAAAAAAAAATTACTTCCCATGAAAAAATTCCACTATAAATCCGTTTGAGGTAAGCGTTTATCAGAACTATTTAATTTATTTATAAATACACTGTTTATCAGAAAATAAAGAAAAACAACAAAATCGGCCATAACTCAAAAATTTACGAATAGAATTTAATGAAACGGGCACACATCATATTGCACAATGCATAAAATAAAAAGAATTAACCAAAAGTCCTGGTATTACAGAAATTAGCATATGTATGAAATGAATAAATCAGATGTGTCAATTTGGAATATAAGTACCTTCAATCTGGAGTATCATCACTGGTGAAGCTTTCAATCGTACGGTCTATCAGTTCCGTTAGAAGTGCGAGCCATTGTTCTTGCAAAGGAGTTGCAAGCGTTGCAAAAGTCAGAAGAGGAGTGATTGAGAGCAGCTAGACTTCTTCCTAAAGCATCTCTAACATGCTCAATAAGATTCAAGTACGGCGATCGAGCTGGCCACTCCATGCGCTGAATTGCTTGCTACTGTAAATCAAAATCCGCAGTGCGAGCCTTGTGCGGCGTTGTGTTTTTTTTCTTATAGTACGTAATCATCACCTATTGCACCAGCATCAATGATGACTTCTCTATGCACATGAGTATTCCCGGTTCTGCGTGGAAGTAGATGCAGATGTCGAGCCCACACAATGTGATACCACTTCACACGCACCTCCTTGATATGCATCTCTTTCACGGATGTTTGACGGATGATATCAGGTTCCAGATTGTCTCCAAAATATCAAACAGCGCCTACTAGTATCGCTTTGGGGGCTAGACTTGGGCTCACAGTGGGCAGTCGTCAAGTGGACATGTGGCACCCGCCTTTAACATTCCCTTCTATGGATGGTTGACCGTCTAAAGGTAAATGCAGATGGAGCTGGAGTTAAATTTTGTCGTACTACTTCCGACTGATTTCTACGCCTAAACTAAGAAAAACTCACCATCTAAAATTATTATACTTGTAGGGTTCTCAATGTAACGTGTTCCTTCAATATAATTTTCATGGAAATGAATAAAAAAAAAATTGAATTCGGAAGACTCTGCCAGATTGTTATGATGTTTCCCAAAATATAACAAAAGGTGCTGTTTTACACAAATATTGCAGAATAAAGGATAAAACACACTTAATTTAAGCAGTGATATTAATTTTATTAAATTTGTTTCAGGCTCAGGACCTGTTAGAATTTTCAATTTGTAAAAAACTCTCATGAATGGTAAAACGCACAATGCCGAAATTTAAACACAAATCACAATAATAAAACTTCCTAGAATATTAAGCCTGTTCACAGATCGTCTCGTAAGCGTAACATAAGCGGAGGGATACACCGGAAGTTTCCTAAATGTCTTCTGGTTTTAGGAAGCTTGTTATTGTTTACCTTTAGCCAACCATGAATGACGTGACGAGAGTGAGTGGCTGGTCGCCAAGCAAACAAATCATGTTCAATGGATGCACTTCCAAAGGATACTAGACTGATAGTACTCGGAATTGATGTTCTATTTCTTCTTGCTTATAACGATAAATATGGTAACAACACGTCGTAACAATTGGCCGAACCTGTGGTTAGTAATAATTGCCTAAGTCTGAGAATTTTGTCCTGCCTCTAATCTTCCAATAGATCTCCATCGCACTTCTTCGGACGAATGGTGCCTCGAAATCATTGTAACTCATTGGCTACCTCAAATTTCTATTTTCAGAAACACAACGAAATTCGCAGGTTTGCGATCAAATATACAGTTTTATGGCTGATTGCGGATGAAGTCATTCTACTTCAGCGTCAATAATTTACACAAAGCAATTTCACTTAGCAACTCTTATTTGACAATATATTCAAACGGTATTGCGTTAGGCTTGGCTGAAATTCAAATTGTGAAACATTACCAATTCTCAAAACAAAGATTGTATGAATTTATCTTTTCGCATCATGAATAGAAAAAAAAAAGTTACATATAATTTGTGAGACACCATTGCAAAATATTGGTTATTTTAATAATCTTTAAGCTGGAACTAGACAATTGTTATTCAGTATTTCGCCGGTTTGACAGACCGTGGTACGTTGAAGGTTAATATATATACTATATATATCCATCTGTCGTAGCCGAACACATAATAAAGCAACACTCGTAATTAACTTTTCATTTTTTACAATTTAACAAGGCTTAAACTAAAAATGAACGTGGCTATTAAATGAAGCATATTATTTCCTATCCAAATCAGAACCTTAATATATTTAAGTAAACTAATTTGCTATTATTGAAATTAAACGAAAAACATATATCACTTCAGTTTATACAGGAAACACCATGTTGAACTTCGCTTCCCTATAGAATGCTTGGATGGGGGTGTCGTTGACGTAGGACCAGTGGTCAGAAAAACTACATTATTTTTGTAGTTTAATACAACTACTTTTTTTTTTATGTAGTCACTGCAAACTTTGGAATTGTAGTAACTATGGATGGTTGACTGAATGTAAACAATAACGGGTTTCC